CAAATGCACTGCCTCTTCTCCCTCCAACAATACTCCGAGAATCAGCAAGAAGGCCTTTATACATCACACAAAACCTACAAATATTGATTGTATATATATGAGTTTTTTTTTCTTCAAAATATCATTTGGGTTATGAAAGTTGGAATATATCTCCACAAAATCCAGCCTCCAAACTTGCTAGAAACTGTGTGAAAGCATTGACAAGTGCAGATTCATCATAGAGCCAAGACAAATAGATGACAGCAATAGATGTGGAAGAAGCAGCAGTGTACTTACTTAGTCAGAGGCAGGCAGTGGTTCGTGCCTTCTGCTAGTCGTTCATGGTGTGCTCTATCTGGGGTAACACTAAAGTGAAGTGTAGCGTGCTCTTAAGCAGTCTTCTTCTTCCTCTACCCCCCTCCCCGTTATTCTCCTCCTCTCACTGAGCACAAGCCCGACTACGTCACACAGAACCTCTGCTCCGCACATCTCTCCTCCTCCTCGTTACCTTGTTCTATGGAATGGGAGAAGATTAGGTTTCCTCCAGGAATCTTGCAAGACACAACATCAATAGATGTGTCCCAATATATTTACACTTTTGCACACTATAGATATATATATAGATATATACATGATATATACATACACATACATATCAGCCAATATAATTAACGTATGAATGACTGGTGGAGTTATCAGAGATAGTTAAAGTCTCAGAAACAAAAGTGTACTTGGGGTGCATTGATACAGAAACAAATATGATGAATATTGTCGCTGATAATCAGATTTTGTAGGATGATGTGCTGGATTTGATCGTTTCAATTGATGTAACAACATTATAATTGATTATTAACAGAACACATTTGTAATAACTAAAACTGATTCAGTTTAGTGCAACCAATTTTAATGGGAATCTCCCGAGTGAATATATTTCTTCTCCATCTTTGACAGTATAGTTTTTGTTTATGTACACCACCACATTCTACTTGTGGATATAAATATAGTCATGAACATAAATAAACACCTACAGATGGGCACATGAAGATTTTAATTAGCGATAGAAAAAAGGCAAACATGCAGGAAACAAAAGACTATAGTTCCTGCATGTGCCTATAATCATGACTGGGAATCTGATAACTCAGAGGCAGATCCAGAGACAGTAGCTCGACACAATAATTAAACGAAGCAGTTTGACATCACAGTAACAAGGACTGCGACTGCTGAGAAAAATCACCATCATAGTTCACATTCATTATTTATATTTGAGGCTGCAGGAAATGGTGCAGCAAAGATAAACTGACACAAAAATGGCTGAAACTTGTATTCTATTTAAACTGAGGACTTGAATAAAACATGAACGAGCGAATGGTGCCTTGAAACTCAAGCTAAAGAAATGGAAAGAACGACTTTTAGGAACAGCACCCAAGCATTGAGAGCATCTGTCTCTCAGTCTGTCCCACACGAGGCTCTGCTCTGGGCTGTGCTGCCTCTGCTGCCTCTGCTGCTGCTGCTGCTGCTGCTGGTGCATTATGGATGAGGCTATTTTAAGGCTTTGGGGATGGTGCGTTTTGATTTGTGAGCCGGGCGAGATGGCACCTGGCTGCTGCCGAATCTCCTCCTCTGAGAGCAGCAGTGATGAGCAGAGACATGAAGGTACAGCATGTGTTTGTGCACAGCTGACCCCTGTTTGGAGTATGATGTAAACAGAAAGACACAGAGCAGCAAGTCACATTAACTCTACTTTGTGAAGATCTAAAGAGGGATGGGTTACACCTGATTGGGTGAGTGAAGCGTAAGTGGGTGGGCAATTGAGAATCAGTTTTATTATACGTGAAGCACTTTGACTTGTGTTTAAAAAGTGCTTTGTAAATAAAGTTTGTTTGGTTGATTTAGCCTTGACTATCACTATTGTGCACAAAGCTATGATTTGAAGTTTCCACTATGTCTATTCCACTATAGATCCATTCAGACATTGATTCTTCTGTTTACTGTGACTATGGCGCTGCATTATGAACACAAAAAGACAACACATTTTTGCATGTTGATTAAGGCAAAGTAGTAGTAGTGCATTGCATACTAGAGCATTTTCATGATAGAGAATTTGTAAGAGAAGTACAGTATAGGCTACATGCACATGGCTACTTAAAATGTTACAAGTGATGATCTAGTTATATTGAGTAACGTTATAGTGACGTGTGTGATTCCAGCAGCCCAAACACAGCCTCTGCGAACAGTGTCCACAGGCAGAAACACCGGAGGAAACCTGCACACAAACCCACCTCTTTCAGCAGGAAGACGCTCGAATTGTTCAGGGACATCCGTATCGCACTCAGATTGTTGTTGTTGGCGCCAAACTTGTGTTGAAAATCTTTTGTAAATGAAAATGCATGGAGACAGGTCCTCGCGGCTCATCCAAACAGCACGCACAGCCCACACGCAGAACACGTCTGAGTTTTTCGGACGCACATGATCGATGAGTGCGCACAAAGCCCAGTGCGCGCGGACACACGCACGGATCAATTATGCACGAGCGGCACTTTTCACACAGACTGTCCCTGCTGCCATGCGCGTGCACGTGGCTTCGCAATGTTAGGAGAGACTCACTTGAGAATTTGATGTATGGGATGGGCCATTCCCCCAATAAATCACTGCCGAGTGCTGCAGTTCGGCAGGCACAGATATACCTTTCAAAAAACATACATAATCATTAAAAGTTACAGAATAATGTTTATAGGCTCAGATACCACCGACACCATGTAGTGGGTCAGCTGATTGTTTCAATGTTGTGAAGCAAAATTGTATAGGTAATATTCCATTTTTGTGGTCTAGAAATTGAGTGATTGATCTGAGAACACTAATCAATTTTTGGGGGATTGTGCACATTCCAATGGGGGCTCAAAACTTTTCACCTCAATATATCATCGCTGAACGCAGGTAGAACCTTATAATTCTGCCTGAATGTTGACCCTGATCATTCATTTAATTGCTGTTGTGTTAACTCAACTATTATCCTCATAATAGGCCTGTACGATACTATAGCAGAAGTAAAGCAGAAGTAAAGTTATTGAAAGCGTGCGTTAGAATTTAAAATGACAGAAAGTCTTGATACAGTCAGCACTGGCCCCGCGTCCCCCTGCTCATTTTTCACTGATGCAGCATTTTGTCTTCCACACGTCCTCCGCTGAAGAGAGGAGAATCCACTGCTCAGATCTGTTCCAACTGACCGACAACCATCTCTTAACTTTATTCTTATGTCCTTGTATCCGACCACCCCCCAGTCTGTGTGAATACTGGGCAATTGGCGCAGATTTGCAGCCATGTGCCTGTCCATCATAAGACACTGCTCAAAGTCTGTCTGATGATGTAACAATGTAGCGTGATTTGTGGCCTCTGAAAGGGAGAACATTATTTGTGAGCAAGGGCGCCATCTAGTGGGTTAGAAAAGAGTTACAATTAAACTCCTGACTATTACAGGTTTTAAACAGAATACATATTTAGCCTAATAAAACATATGAAATAAACACTAACTTAAAGGTTAATCACGTTGTGTTTTTGTGAGAAAAAAAAATCCTTTTATTTGATGGAGAAAATGCAGTGTTGCTAATTAAAGACTTTGTCTGAATTCACCTTTCAACCCTTTTAGATAAATTAAGATAACCTTCATTCGTCCCTCAGTGGGGGAATTTCGGTGTCATCGTTGCACACATTACAGCAGCATAAAGGAAAATAAAATAAAATACATGAGAGCACTCACGTTATGCACACATCAGACAAGGTCTAGAAAATAGATAATAAAATAAAAAAGATAGATAATAAACTCTAAAAGTGGGCTGTTACTCATGAGTCAAAGATGAGTATACTTGTAGAGAATACATAGTTAGCAGACACAATGTTACAGATGGGTAATCTTGTACTTTAGCAGTAAAGGATATTACCAGAATATGTTATAATAATAAAAGCAGTACTGAATTATCAGTACAGGTGAGATGTGTACAGGCTCAGCAGTTCTCATTGCACAATCTGACAAAAGCAGGAGGGAAAGAGCTCTGACAACTCTCCTTCACACAGTGAGGGTGATTCAGATAATTATCAAAATGGAGGATATAGGCAATACATACAAAGTAAAAAGCAACTTTTCAAAGAAATATCAATTAAAGATGCATAAATAGAGTGTCCTCACATGTCTGAGATATAGGCCATGCTGTCACAGATAAGCAGTGATGGTATATCTTAATGCTCTATAGGTGAGAGGGTGTGGGCTTGTTTAAAAGATTAAAGTAAACATATTCTCTGGTCTGTGTCAATACCAGCGTAGCCTTTCTAGTTACACATCAAACCGTCTGATTTTGCAATGGATGCCTTTTCTCAGAGACCACTAATAATCTATAAGCAACCACAAAGGCCATACAAGCTGTGACCCAGTGTGGAAAGGCCCAGTCTATAGTGATATTCTTATAAAAGGACAAAGTTGTGAAAATTGTAGGGTCATTTTCTATTTAGTATATTTGGTGTAAAAACTGGTCAAGATATATCCAAGGTTATTGTTTTCTATTATTATTGTTATCATTGTTATAATGCTACTTCTACCAGTTTTGTCTTCTTCTAAATCCTTTCTCAGAAGTTTAACACTTTCTATAATGATAATGCGAAGACCCAATATATAAAACTTCATGAGCTGACAACACCATGGAATTAGAGTATATTGCGCCCAACAACTGCATGGTGGATTGTTTTTTCAGATACATACATCAAATACATCAGATAACCGGAAATGAATGAATGATTTGTGCCAATAAAATATTCTGGGGGAAATAGCTAGAATTAAGTGACCTAAGATTTTTAGGTCAAACACTTATAAATCCAAGGTTGCAACACAAATAAAATACAAACAATTGTGTTAACGCTGCACTTTTGCGTAATAAAGTATCTTTTTTACACTCATATTTTCTTTCAACGTGTAAATAAATATATAATGACAGTAATAAGTGTTGGGGAACAGCTCACTCATCGCCTCCTCGTCCATGCGCCCGCTAGAGCGCGCCGCGGAGCCGCCTGAGCCTGAGCCTGAGCCTGAGCCTGAGCTCTGGAGCTCCGCGAGAGTGAGAGAGGACCTGAGGCAGTCGGGGAGGTCGTGCGGTGGGAATGTACTGTGGCTCAAGCTGGGAACAGTGAAGGTTGTCCCGGTCGGTGTGGCAGCCTTCTCCTCGGCGTCTTTGGCTCAGACTACGCGCTGGAGACGAAGCACGGACCGCGGCTTCGTGCTGGACCGAACACGGCGGTGAAAGCTGGGTCTCTCTGCAGTGTCACTCTTTGGACATAACCAATGGTAAGTGCACTGCTATTGCTGCGGTCTGCCTTTGCTTTTCCCGCGGTTCTGTTTGTTGGCAACTCTTTCGCTGCTACAATGTTATTTCGTGCAGGTCGGAAATGAAGTAAACCGATAGCACGTCTCGGACAAATGCCAGCCTCTGACTTTACTCTGTGCTGCTGTGATGATCGCTGCGGCGCGGGGAAGTGTTGTGCAGGACTGTGAGAACCACACGGGCTCCGTACGCACACGGCTTATTAATTATGACACTTCACTGGGATCAAACACGCACGCCTGTAAAGCTGTTTGGTGGTACGTAACGTAGTCAGCTATAGCTCTTCACGCCAATTCCTCTGCGTCCATTGACCTGTTTAGAGTCCAAACATAGTGACGCTGGATCTGTTGGAGGGAGTCGGGCCCAGTGAGAGAGAGAGACCCTGCACGCACAAGAGCCACGGTTCTTCAAGCCCCCAAGTTGGCCAGCAGAACGCTTCACTCTCAAGTTGATCGGGGTGGACTAACCTGATGCACCCCACAAACTATCTGGGCTATGTTCGTTGTCAACTGTCCACTGATTGTATAATTCTGCACTTAACTTTATGCAATGAAAAGTCCATGATTCGAGACTGTATATGTGAAAATTAGGGGGCTGTCGACATCGCCTGTAGGCTGCTTGGTGCATCTGTTATGTAATCGGCTTCTTCGGCCGATTGGCCGCAACTACAGACTACAGCCTGGGCATACACGTGTTAAATCTAAATGTGATGTTTTAATATTCAAGCCATGCCTCTGGAAAGCCAGCTTTTAAGGAAGAATGCTCTGTTCCAAATCTCGAATAGCGACTTGCTCGAAGGGAAAGATGATCCTGATGACATTTCTGATGCTAGCATATTTTATGTCTTGCTGTCACACTTGTATCAAAGGTTACAATGTTGACTCCTGTCCTCTGCTCAGCCTCCACATAACTGCCCACCACTCCACACAGGTCACATGCTAAACTGATGCTTTTAAGCTTTCAGGCTTCTGTCCCTATGACCTGCTGATTGACATCGCCATTAATCCAGTCCCTTAAATTGGAAAGTTAACAGTTAAAAAGTAACAAATAGAGTAATCCCTGAAAAGACGTTTGAGAGTTATGTGAATATAAACACTGTTTTGTTTATTGGTATAGATTATTTACAATTGTGATGGCTGGCACATTTCTATGTGATTGGAATCATTCACAAGTTACTTCACTAACCAATTTTGAGCAGATAACTAAAGTTTCAGCTATATTCTCAAAAATGTTATTTGCCAAAACAGTGTCTTCCTATAACATAACCTTTGTAAGAATTATTCAAGGCCAATAAACTCTCACTCAAACACTTTTTATGATTAAAGAATGATATCAATATATCTTGCTTTCCTATTAAATTCAAATAGATGTTCGGTTGTTCGTTTCCTTGGCAAAATACTGTATGACTCATGGCACTGAAAGGCTCATTTTGACTATATGCATTATTAAGAGTTGCAATTATGCTTTATCATTCAGTGATACCTCCATGATAGAAATAATGAATAATATCATATCGAACAGGGGCAACAGTGGCTCAGTTGGTAGAGCATTGGCCTTTGAGCCAGAAGGTTGTGGGTTCGAGCCCACCACAAGACCTACTTCACGACTCCCACTGATGTCTACTGTTTTTGTGTCCTTGGGCATGATACTTAACCCCACTTTGCCTGAAGCCCCCGCTGAAAGATCGGGGCTCCTGTGGACTCACCACCTGCAGGAGGATCAGTGAGGGGCTCTGTGAACTGGGTGCAGCTCTGACTGCCACCCCCCCGACCCAGAAATGGATTAAGGGGAAGAAAATGGATGGATGGATCATTTCAAACATACCCATGTTATGTGCCTCCAATATTGAGTTATGTGACATCCTTAGTGTAGGTCATGGACACTCCTCTCAGGCTGTTCCCAAAGGCCACAATAATAGTCCTTGAGTGTTTTCTGTATAAGACAATTAGTTTATTGTTCAATCAAAAATCGTTCATGAATATCTATCTTGTATCGGACATCTCAGAGTTAATTGTTCTGTACAGAGGCCTCCTTTTCAGCCTCCTTTTCAAAACTTTCCCGACATAAAAAACTTAACTGCTTTTAGTGCTTCATGCAACCCTTTTGAGGGTTTCTGGTAATGATCGATCACATTCTAATGTATAATGCTATGTGCGTTTTTACTCAACAATGTGCAACTGAATAAAATGATAGTAAACTAAAGTAATTGACTGCAGCTCAGTTTAAATGGACAGCAGCTGTTGGAGAACTAGGTTATGGTGTTTTACCACTGTTTGGTAATGGCGTTGTGATTCACAGGCTCACAAACGGGTGTATATTGTGCTCATGTGCAGTTGACTGTTTGTGTTCGCTCTCAGCTGGGCAGAGATTTGCTTATTAAGTTTAGAGGTTAGCAGTGTCCTTGACATGTGCTGCCAGAAGCCAAGCATAGTGAGTCATCAAAGCTAATGGGGGAAGCATGGACAATTTAATGTGGACTGGAGGGCTCTTGATCTCTGATGGTGCCCACTCAGTAGGCCTTTGTTGTCAAATAGAGCACACCCATCCCTGCCAGAGATTTGAGGCTCGATTGCAATGATCGAGTTGAGCTGGGTTGTGTCCTTTCCACCATGAAGAGTTTGGTGAGGAGCTGCAACCATCTCAACTTTGCTCAATCTGAACATAAATCATCAGAAGGTCACTCATGTGGCAGTGACAGTTTGTCAGAAAAAAGTGAAAAGAAAATCTAGATCAATCAAAATAAGAAAACAAATATTTTTTCCCAAATCCTCCAGCTTCTCCGCCATCACATGATTAGGAATTTTGTATTAGTCTATTTTTAATAGGGAAAGTACATATTAATCAACATTTGTGCAAGTGTTCCTGTATTAGCTATACAGCTAGTTTCCAAATGTTGTCTCGAGGCAAGGTGTAAAATGTCTAAGTATTGGACATGTTGTCTTCGCAATAATGCATTTAAAGCAAGGGTGTCCAAACATTTTAGTAAGAGGGCCACTTTAGTTCACCAGACTAGTCCAGGGGCCGACATCACTGACTGAAAAACTCTCTTGACTGGCATCGGGCTGTTCTAACAGAGCTGAAGTTGGCTGAATGACAAATGTTTACCATCAACAAAAGTGATGCAATCAAAAACATGTCAGTACAGTCTGTGCAAATAAAGTCAACAACACACAGGGCTTTAGAACAAGGTCTACTGTATATGGGTTGGGCTGAAGTTGGATGGATGACATAGTGAACTTGTGTTTATGATCTCAAAGACTACATTGGGTTAGCAAGGCAGAGGGCTACATAAAATGACACTGAGGGCTGCATTTTGCCCCTGGGCTTGAGTTTGCACATGCCTGATTTAAAGGCACAAAGTCAAGACTTTCATATTATTTGGATTTATGTCATGTACTGTGCTATAGATTCATTCTATTCTTCTATTACTATACAAACAAAAGTAGTCACAGACTTACTCAAACAATTGTGCTTATATTATTCTGATTTGTGATTATATTGTACAAATCTCTGCCATTATTTGCAATATGTGTATATTTTCCAGGAAAAGAGGTGGAGAGAGGGGCGATGGGCGGAGGAGTGAAGCTCTCTCTGTTACTGACACACCTCTGATGCCTCTGGCAGCTCTGAGCTCATGGTGTGTGCTCGCTGGGATCATCTAGTGGCCTGGCCAACGTTTCAACACACAACAAAGCCCACACAGGTAATAGACACTAGCTTGACTCTGGTCTTTGTCGTTTCTTCACTTGTGCCTTATTGGTTTTTGTATTTATGATGCAGGATGTCGTGGGCCAGAGGGCTCTTTGTACGAAATGTGGACGAGCGAAAAACTGCATGGGGAGAGCGCAATGGCAAGAAACGAAAGGACAGTTCCTCTCTGTGCCACTCCCGCTACATGAGCTGTCTGCGAGATGCTGAAGATCTCGACTCGCCTAATGCCGCCTCTCAGCACTATCCAGGTGGAGCTGGCACCAGCGCAGGTAACTACAACCTGCGCTGCATGTGGCAAGAGGACCACTACCTTAAGAAGCCCACCGCTGGAGATGTAGGCCTTAAGGCTGTGGACCTGGGCTTTGAAGATGGTGACGTGAAGGGCAGGAAGGAGGATGAACTGGGGGAGCGGAGAGAGGCCAGCTCCAAGGCCATGAGCGCTCTAGACTGCTGGAGGAGAGTGGTTTGGGTTTTTCAATCAAAGAAGTTTAGTTCGGCCAAACTGGAGCGCCTGTACCAACGCTACTTTTTCAGACTGAACCAGAGCTCCCTCACCATGCTGATGGGGGTGCTGGTGGTTGTGTGTGGCGTCATGCTGGTGTTCCACTGCATTAATGCCAGTCTGGACATTGCTTACATCTCCATCCTCTCTGTGGCCATGGCGCTGTTCCTGGCTTTGATGGTGGTGTGTAACCGTAACGGCTTCCACCAGGACTACATGTGGATGGTCAGTTATTTGGTGATGGGTGTGCTCATTGTGGTCCAGGTCTTTGGGGTGCTCATGGTGCACCCTCGCAGTGCCTCGGATGGTGTCTGGTGGACCGTCTTCTTCATTTATATAATCTACACTCTTCTTCCGGTGCGAATGAGAGCTGCTGTGCTCAGTGGAGCGGTGCTGTCGACCATTCACCTGGTTACAGCCTGGCAACTCAACCAGGAGGACAAGTTCATTTTCACACAGGTACAGCATCATCACACTCTGAATACATACGTTGTCTACAATAAGTGCACTTATGTAACTGCAAATGAGCAGTTGATTCATGCGAGTTGCTTTCATGATGTTCCTATTATAAATGCAAGTGGTGTTTGTGAGCGTGTGTCAGTGAGCATGTGCGTGCGTGTGTGTGTGTATGTGTGTGTGTGTTCAAACTTGCGCTGAACGAGCTGAGGGAGGTGTTTGCATGACTGACTGTTCGGGAGCCTTTATAAACTTACATGCATCAGCGCACACACTTTTGAACGGCTTTTCCATTGATTAATGCAGAGCCCTGTAGACATCTACAGACTCATCAGACGCACAATGGTGTGGTCTCTGCGCGGGGGTCTGCTCCGATAACAAGCCCAAAGAAACATTCCATCTCTGTATTCACTACCAGCTCAATCCACTGATCAATTTATGTGTATATAAAACTACTGCTGGTTTTGCTTTTGTTATATTTCCCTGTAAATGGCGACAACCATATATTTAAGGACTTTTTGGGGGTGGAAGTAAATAAGCTTGTCTGCATCCCACTCCCTTCCAAGCTGTTTTTTTTTTCTCTCTCTCTAATGATGTGTTAATATTGTATAGCATCGCAATGTATTTCTTTTTATCTTTTGTTGTATTGTACCGGCTTGGAAAAAACTAAACTAAACTAAACTAAAGCAATATGTGCATAAAAATGACAATAAAAAGTCAGTCATATAATCAATGGATATACAATTTACTCATAAACTGCACTAAACTATGGGTGCATTTGCGTTCACATCCCGGCACTGTCTTGATTATTACAGTGTTTTTACGTCTTGCACAGCACGAGTTGTTAATCCACCTCATATTTGGGAGTTAGGAGTTACAATGATAGAAACAGCTGAAAAAACAAAGGTGTGTGCAGATTTAATATCATGCAAGTTATGGTGTCAATTGTTCGGCTGTTTACCGGTACCTTCAGTCCAATGCAAGTGTTCTGCTGTGAGGCAAAGACACCTTTGACGCGATTCTGCCAGTTCAGTTCTGACTAGTTCTGACTATGGAAGCGGAAATACACTGAAACCCTATGGCGAGTCCAAAACGGCTCAAAACACGGCTCTTGGCTCAATGCTAAGTTACACATGCGTGTCAATACGTGTCAAGGATTTTGTAACCAGGTCTGTCTGCTGTAACGCTATCACCCAGCTAGTATATCAGTCTATCTCTAGTTTTTTAGTGTTTGCATTGCCTTCAATGCAAACTAGTTGAAAACTAGAGAAGTTATCTCCCTGATTCATTTGTAGTGTCTCATGATTAATTTATCCCCCAGACACAAGGATCATCAACTGTTTTATATTTAACATGTTATCTAATCTCCCTCTGCTTTAGAGCTTGCCCAAATGCATAGTACAACCAAGAAAGCTGCGGTATTGTCATGCGCATGGTGAGGCTGAAACAAAACAAAGCTCACTTTCTCTAATTAGGACCTATACAATTGAGCACAATGTTGTCACTGTACTCACCAGTGGAAACGCCCTACTTTCTCTCTACATCAATATGGGGCAAATACTGGAGCAGGCTGCTGAGTGAGTCTCCGCCACTTTTTCACATCAGAGGTGCCATACTAAAAGTAGATGGTGCTGTAGATGTTGGCTGCCTCTCAAATGAGGTTTTTAATGAGCCTGTGTTTTGTGCTGTGTCTTTGAGCCGGTGGCAGCTCTGTAGGGGCTTGGTGGAGGTCATCTGGGTTGACCGAAGCCTTTAGCTGTGCTCAGAAATATCATGATAATGTAGCATGGTGCTATTCAGATCCGCTATTCCCCAAGACAAGGAGGCTATTGTAGTCAAATGAAAAAGGGTGGGATACTGAGATTATGCAATGAAGTTGATGCAAAACAACATGATTAGTTCCTTGTATTGGATTCAGTGGAAAGGCATAAACAGATTCTAGAGGGTTTAGCAAATAACACATGGAAGCTATTGGCTGCTTTACTCTAGTTTTTGTTGTTGATGGGATACAAACTTTTTGTGACAGTGCTGGAAATGGGTCACTCCTCTCGTGACCTTAATTAATATTCAAATTAAATGGCTGGCTAAGATTTTTTTAATTTTATAATAGGTTAAAGATTGTACTGTACATAGAATGTAGAACCTATTTTTTATCAGCAAATGTTCACCATTTGCTGTGTCTGTATGTCTTAAATTGTTAGTTGGCCTTTAACTTAGAAGTGGATGATAGTATTGCCTTGTTAGAATTGTGGTACTTTTGCCTTAAGCTTCTATCCAAATCCTGAACACGAGGTATACTCATTAAAGAGTCAGCGTCCGCTAGGACATTTTTACACTTGTCTTGCTGTAATTGGCTGTTTGCATAAAGATACAAGTGCTTAAAGGAAACTGATTGAAAAAGTGGGTCCTGATTCTTAAAGCTTCTTTAAACAGAGAATCTGTGAATATATCATATTGACAACAAAAGATCACTGGAATCCTGTTTGTTTGATTTGTATTTCCATATCACTGTGTGTATGGCTATCAACGTTTATCATATGCTCTTTAAATAACTGTCAACATTGCAAAGTCTGTCTGTTACACAATTCCAGTTTGGCCCCGGAGGATGTATTGTAGATGTGATATCTTTGATATCATTTATGTTTATTCATCCCGTTCGAGCACATTCAGCAAACACACTGGCCTGAGTGGGACCGTGCTTTTTCTCCCAAACTTTAGTATTAAGCAAGCCGGGGAGTGTGAAGCCTGCACTGTGAACAAGGCAATATTGACATAGCAGTGCTGGTCCACTGAGCTTTGTGCTAAGTGCCATGTCCCGGCCTCAACAGTGCCACAGCAGAGGCCGGTCAGCAGCTGAATCTGTGGACAGGGCTCCACTTGGCTCCTGTTTGATGGACTGCTGCTCAGCCCTAGGGCCTGGACCCCGAACACTCTACGTTTCACTTTTCTGAACAATCAATGATGGGACATGTGCCTGTGGTCTGTTGGACTGTTGGACTGCGTACTTAGTCAGTTGGGGTTTGATAGAGACTTAAATAACACGAATCATCTGAGGTTGACTCATGCTCTCACTCTTTTTTTCCATTTTAGTTTTTACACTTGCTCTTTACTTTGAGAAATAGCTGGATGTCAGCATCCCTGTTGTCACATTATTGCATACTTGGGATTAAATTGTCCTGTAGCATTTGGCATAGTTCTTGTTTGTGTTCTGTGTACCTCCATGACTGTTTGCATGACCAGAGTAACATGACAATGTCCTGTTCATTACTGCTAGATGAGTTTGTTGTAGATTTTCAGAAAACGGATTAGAAAAAAGATTTTCTGTGTTGCCCATTATAATTTAGTCTGTAGTGCATTGGATGGCCTTTATCCAGATCCCTATACAGATATTATTATTATTATTATTATATTGGATTCATGGAAGGGATTCACTAAAATCTTGGTATTTCATCCCGGGGCAGAGGAATATGTGGCTCGGGCTTATTATACAGCGTTAATTGGTCGGGCTTATACGGGCTCGGGCTTAGTATTAGCGGGCTGGGGCCGGGTCGGGCTTGATTTTTCAGGCCCGAACGAAACTCTACTTCTGATTTATGGTTGTACCACCCTGACATTTCAAATCGGGAAAAATTTGGAAAAAAGTTGTTCAGCCATCTCAAAAGCTTTTGAGCAATTAGTATTCATAAATACAGGTAAATTTGCAGAATATTTTATATAATTATTGTGCTTGAATGTTTTTGATTTTGAGAGATCAAAACATAAAAAAAAATTCACTCTGACCCAAAAAATGTTATGTCAATCACTTTTTCAGTTTACAGATAGCCTGTACCTTTGACCTGTGAATAATTATTTTCGTCTGAAGTACATTATCAATAATGTGGGTTAATTCTAGACAGATCTGAACTGTGACAAACCAAGGATTCAGTCAGATACTCAAAACATGTTGGACATTACATGACGTCAAACATGTCAAATCCATTGGTGTGGCTTTTAGAATGTCATCTTTCAATCACCAGCTGATGCCCCACCCCCCACTTTGAGAACCCATGCCTGAGTAGCCCGTAGCCCTCGTCCGCAGCGTCTGATCCCGGCCCATTACAATCGTCACATTATACTTCTGTCGCAAATAAGATAAGATTAGACTTTATTGAACACATTTGGAGTAGATAGAATCACTCAGGTTGAGCAAAAGGCATGTATCGGGGTAATATCGCACTCCTGGACCTGCATTGCTAATCTGCACTGTTAGGGTGGCACGGTGGCTGAGTGGATAGCACTCTCGCCTCTCAGCAAGAAGGTCCTGGGTTCGAATCCCGGCCGGACCAGGGCCTTTCTGAGTGGAGTTTGCATGTTCTCCCCGTGTCTGCGTAGGTTTCCTCCGGGTACTCCGGTTTCCCCTACCACTAAAAATATGTACAATAGGTCTGGCATGCGCCTCCTGTTCGGCGACCCCGCTCCCATCTCTGTGTGGAGTGAGAGGACAAGTGCCCAAAAAATAACAATTGTAAACCGCTTTGTGACTCTGGTCTGTGAAAGGCGATATATAAATAAAGATTACTTACTTACTTACTTACTTAAGTATATATTGTGTGTATTTATTTATTACAATTGTATTATAATTTTTGATGCATGCCTTTTATATCTCATAACTTGTGTGCATCATGGACAAGGGCTGGGAATTGATTATTCCATAGTATTGCAATATTTGGGCCACAATTCAATATTAAAGCAATTCCCAACCTATTGTGATACAGCAACTATTGCGATTCAATTCTGCTATACTGTATATTGGGATTCATGTCCCTCATATTATTCAAAGGCATTACAAAAATTGAGGAAATAGGACTGCTCAGCTCAAATGTCACAATGTTATGGTCTGCGCATATACGCTGCAGTGCAAAAACGTTATCCTGGAACATGGCAGGACACAGGACTTTTAAAAGGACAAGACATAATTATTCTCTGAATAGGCGACCTCTCACGTGAATGGTGAGCTCCCCGCA